TTTTAGTAAGTTTTTAAGCTTTTTTTCAAGCTTTAGATACTTTTCAAATAGCTCAGATCTTTCATGTCTACGATAATCTTTAAAGGCATCGGATTTCTCAATATCAGCGAATCCAAACACATAAAGCAACCAACGATACAGACAAAACGGTTGCTACGACTACCATGACTAACTCGCTCTGTAACAAAGCTCGATCCGAGTGGTAGAAGGATAATGATATATTGCTTGCCTGCTTTGTTGCAATATACACGGATGAGGACATAGGGTTTTTGATCTAATTTCCGTCCTACTAAGCACAACCCGCGCTTTACCTCTCTTTTCTGAACGAGTTTAAACAAAAAATTGAATATTTCTGTCAAAGATGACTTGCAAATTTATTCACCTTTCCATACGTACCGTTGGATTTGATAAAGAGTCACAAATTGTTGAGATATTGTCAAAAATCTAGCACTGCTTCTTGCTTCTAAATTCGTTCTACGAGTTTCAATTCCGTCCTAACGCATTGAAACGCCATTAGATTTTCTTCGTCCTACGGATAAAAGTAGAAAAAAAGGATTCGCTAGGAGCGCTTCTTTTGTTTTGAGAACAATGAGCGTAAACATTCATACAATGCACTCTAATAGTATTTATGTTGTAGCTAATGAACTAGCGCATCGGAACAAACCTATTTTTATTTTGTGCATGGTGAAATCATTGGTATTATTGATCTTTTCTGATCGATAGAACGGAAATGGGCGATTACGACGAAGTAGCACTCTACCCTAGCTTGATATGAATCGGGAAAAGACATAACAAAAAAATTCCCATTAACACACGTGTATCATCTTCGGCTTTACTTCGTGAAGTAGCTTGCCAACAATTTGCTCGTTTCGTTCTACCGCCCCGAATGAGTTGTGTCGCACGGGCTGCTTGTCATGAAAAAGAACGCTGAAGATTATATCATTATTGCTTTCCACTTCTGACATAGCGTTATTATTCGGATTCCTTGCTCAAGATACAACTTTGTGCATTCGTCATCCCACCCAGGGGTGGCGGGTCTTCTTTTGAGGGATGCACTTGGAACACGTCGTTTCTGAGCTTCTAATGCACTTTTGTAGATTAGTTCGGTAAAGAAACGATACTCTTCCAGTGGTAGTAAAGGATCGGTAGAATCTATACCAAGAGTTACCGTCGATACAAATTTTTGCCAATCAATGTTCCTCGTGAGGTCAAAAGGAACTTGAATTAACTGATCTGTTTTTAGACGACCACTTTTGATTGAAATAATAATTGATAAGTGATCACTGATAACCTTCCACAGACAATCTAATGATAGTGAGTTTGAGCACAAAGATATGTCAAGACGGCTCTCTCGAGCAGGAGGGTTTGCTATACGTGTTGCTTCACCAGTGTTGAAGATAGTCAAGTTGAAATCGTCGCATAAATCATAGAAAATACCCACTCTATTGTCATCGTATGATTCGCCCCAGCCAGTACCGTGTGAGTTCATATCGCCCAGTATTAGAACTGGAGATGGAAGGATATTAACTGAACTCCAAAGCTGACGGCGGTTTATGGAAGTCCTTGGAGGGACATATACAGAAGCTATGCAAAGATCTTTGTTCTTCACATTTATTTGGCAAGCGACAATTTCAATGCCTGAAATTATCAGGATTGAGATTCTATAGAAGGAGTAGCACTTTTTGATCCCCAACAGTACGCCACCATATGAATCAGCTCGGTCCAGGAGGATAATGTTAAAATCGTGGAAGTTTAGTTCATCTTCAGAAGAAAGCCAAGTTTCACAGAGTGCAAATACATCATAATCAGAATTGAGAATCAAATACTTGAACGAGTCTAATTTAGGTATTAAACTACGACAGTTCCATTGTAATAAAGTGATCATATCTTGATCCTCAATCGACGAATTATCCATCGAAAGATATGAATTCACCAATGAGGGGCCATGATACAGTCGATTGAGGCTACTCGGGCGATGAAACAAGGTAGGCACTCATCTTATTTCCTTTCAAAGGTAAGGGAGCAGATGAGTATGCTGGTCGAAAGATCAGATATGATTACCTTTGTATGGGTCCCATCACATTGCTCAATCCCAGGCAATGAGAAGGCAGACTCTCTCGCAAAGGTGGGCGCACAACAAGGCGAGATCTATGATAGAAGAATTTCACATGATGAATTTTTCCCATTAGTACGTCAGAGTTCTCTTTTAAGTTGGCCAAACGAATGGACAAGTAATTCTCTTGGGCGGTGGCTACATTCCATTATTCCAAATGTTTCTTCGAGAGCGTGGTTCAAAGGTCTGGATGTAAGTCGGGGATTCATTCGAGTGATGTCAAGACTTATGTCCAACCACTACTCGCTAGACGCACATCTCTATAGAATAAACCTCGTTGACAGCAATATATGTAGGTGCAGAACCGGTTATGATGACATCGATCACGCAGTTTGGCATTGCCCGGGTAATGACGCCTCCAGAGCACGACTGTTGGATACCCTAGTGGCCCGAGGTAGACAACCCTTCCGTGAAGTAAGAAATGTATTGGGAACACGTGATCTTCCCTACATGCAAGCGATCTACGAATTCCTTTGTTTGTCTGATGTTAGAGTTTGATGTGACCATCGCCTCCTTTCCAAACAATTTACACAACGTCTTATTATCCTCCTGTTCCTGTGCTACTTGCCTCTGCCCAGCCAGGAGTTGGTCAACCATCCGAGAGTAGTATCTGAAGGAGACTTCAGAAACCAGTTTCCTACCTAGCTCTTTCCAATCGAAAGTGTTACCCATTAACCTCGAGCCCGCCACGAGTAATTGGTACCCAATACTAACCTAAAACTACTGCTATTTAAAATGTAAATTCAAACATTACTGATTTTTGCTCCGCAATGTGTCACAAACGACTGAGCCTAGTAAATAAACGAACTAGTTTAAAAAAACATTCTTTGTCATAAAAAATCACTCAATTAAAAGAAAAACGTTTGCTATGGTTCTTTGAAACATTATTCTTGAACAAAGTTTACTTAACTTCTGCTCAGAACTTTAAAATTCCTCTGACCGCTGATCTCCTGATTTTCCAGATTCTGAAACAAAGAAACACTACGATAGCACAGACGTGAAACAGTTTTAGGTATTTTAGACAACTAGAATTCCCAATGAAAGATTTAAGTGAATGGACTATCAATATGCAATCAACATCAACCGTTCCAAATAAGGCAATGAACTCGTTGTGAACCAGAATCACAACAAAATATGAACATACCAGCAACAAGTAAGTGTTCAATATGTTCAAATTTCGCCGAACCGTTGTCGTTGCATAATATCTTGCACTGCTTGCGTGCGTGTGGCGATCAAGATATTCATTTCTTATCTACCGAAAGAGATCAACTGACCCACTGAAAGTGCTTATGGTCTCAAAGATTAACAATGTCGCCATTTTTCGAAATAAATGCAACCCATTGCCTATACGCTCTGCGCCCTACGTCAGACTTTCAAGCAAGACCACCAGCTGTACCTGCCGACCGCGTAATCGAAGTAATCGACCTGTTTGGAATGTATTCGTCCAAAACTCTCACGCCAAGAGGGGAACGAGGATCAACTGCGTCGCACAAAAATACCGGTTCCAATCCTGATGTCTTCAATTAGTACTACCATCACTCATTTGGAACCATTTCACCCGCACCGCGCACAACCCAATTTGCCACAAATAGCAACTGTTCATGTTGCATCAAAGCAGCCCGAGATTGGACTCGACGGTCGTCGGCATCATCATCATGGTTACGCACGCATGTGTCAAAGTCCTGGCGCGAAATGGCAGCTTGTGAAATGTTGTCTCCACGAGCGCGGCCCGATCCGGTGGACTTTCGGAGAGCAGCGGTTCTGGGCCAAATCGCGTGAGGTGTTATGTCATCATCGTCACCCCTCCACCGCATTGCTATCTACACTTGAACAACTGCAACTGTGTCTCGTGTAATCGAGGCACGCCATGAGTGGAATTCGAGTTTAATTAAATATAACGAGAAAATGTTTACACCAATTGCTCTGGTTCGATGATGAACATAAAGAGGTCGACGATCGACAGTACTTTTCAGTGCTGACCAATTCCGTTGACTTTGTATGTGCAATCGAGAAATGGGATTTCATTTTGATTATTCAGAGCAGGGGTCCTATCGAAAATATCATTCAAAATTGATACATAAAAGGTGGAGGGTTGTGTCCAAAGCATGTTACTTCTGTGGGAGCAGAGCTCTCTAGCACGGGAATGCCCCAGGTCCCTGGTCTAGAGCCACGAGAACCAACGGGGTGGGCTTTCCACCAGCCTCTTTCGTTGGCTTAGCTCATGACTCTTCCCCACTTGGAGGAACTTCAAATCATTCGCTGTTGATCGTCCTAGCAGTGAGCGTCGTCCCTCGCTTACAACGTAGAATGTTGCGATTACTGACGATTTTTCAGTTCCTGGCATGGAAATCTGTGCTTGAAACGCGCATTTTACAGACATAGGTTTATTCGAACCGTACGCTTGCAACCCTTTGCCCAAGGAAGGCTCAATCAGATGGAGCAGTAATCTATACCTCCTATGACATTCACGTCTGCACCTGAATCGATCATACATTCGATCGGAGGGAAATTCCCAACACAACAGTTTACCAATACATCTGCAAGGGAAAGATCGTGAATTTTCTGAAAACAAACGTAGAGAAAAGATAAATAAAAGAGTAGTCAAGTCGTCAGAAAAGATCCCAGAGGATTTTATTGCTTAACAAGTGTTATTCACTTAGAAAGTACATACAGGCTTATTATCTTCGTCTTCATTATCACTCCAACCAGGAAGTTTGACATGCTTCTGATCAACCATATTCACGCGCTTCTTACGGAAAGTTCGCCGCATGCGTTGCAACTTTTAGAGAGAGCCGGGCAGCGTGATCGCCGACCTTGCGTTCCCGTTCCGGTGCCATGGTATCGCTTATAGCGAATTTGTTTATTATCGGGGTTGGAACCAGTGCGAAGCCGAACTTTTTGTCAGTGCGAACCTCAACCTGAGCTAGGTTTTAAAAACAAACGATCAAACTGACGTTTGCAAGAAAACAAGCAGACCCGATCTTGATACCCGATTCAGGTTGGAACTGAATAATAAACAAATTCGCTATTAGTCTGTCTGTTGACATCTTCATTGTCCTTTCTACCACGCTTTCTGCACTCCGTAGCTGGTCGTTTCCAATTCATTGTTGAATCGCAAAAACGCCTGGCTCGTTCGAAGGTCGTGCAGCTTCCGCCTGATAGGATGCTTCCTCTCTCGTAGCCGACTGAACAATGAAGTTCGTTTCGTGGCCATACGTTCTTGCTGCCTTCACCAGTTCCTTATTCCAGAGTCCTTTCAATAGCTGCGCTCGCACGAAGCGGTCTTGAATGGACCAGTGGATGGAATGATACAGTGATTTCCCCAACCTCCTGGGACATATTTCAGAATGATCCGTGCTCCGCCACTGTGTCTGCCATCGAACGGAGGTAGTCCTGGACGTTGTTGTAGCAGTTGGGCTCACTCAGTTTTGGACGCAATCTGGCCGCCCTGACGATGCCCTGGAGCTCCTAGCCCATCGTCAAAAACAATAACTGCGAGCGTTGAATTGGATCAGATGCGTTTCCCAGAGATGCCACAATCTCGAAGTTTTCGATGTATCTATTCCAAGCCTCCCACATCTTGTTGGCTGGAATTCCACTCGGGAAAGCTTTGATGTGATCTCATCGAACAACAGAAGTGGTACCTGCGGTCGATCGCTAGGCGCGTTCCAGATAGACTCTAGCTCATACGGTGCTGGGGCTCGAGATGTAGTCGGGCGTGCGTAGGCACCCAAGGTTTGAGTCAGCTCCACAATACATTGTTTGAGCTTGTTGTCCACTCTGGTCTGGTTTCGTTACTTTCTCACCGCTACCCGATGGTGAGGTGTATGATGTGTCAGAGACAATGCTGTCATCTTGACAGTCGCCCTCTTCTTCCATACTTCCATCGCTGAGTTCACTATAATCACCTTCCTGAATTGCCTCGTTCGTGCAAGTGGATTCGTCGACGTTGAAAGCCTCAGCATGGTCCTGATCGTCAGAATCACCGGTCATCCTTACAAATTTTCCTTCGCTGCAATTGTGTACATTGAACGAATTTAGTCCATCGGATTTCCACTTAGCAAAAGAATTGGGTTCTTTAATTTTGAAAAATATATCGGTTTTTATATATCATCTGAAAGAGCTTCGTTTTCTGAGCACAGCGATATTTTTTTCGAACCTACACACTTTCATCTCGATTTTTGAATCAAGATTTAAAGCAAAATAATAACTTCACTGTTTGACACTGAACTAACAAACTGACAGCTCGCTCCCATACAAAGTGACACCGAGGGGCGCTAATAAGGTGATTTTTGCAAATGTAATCGTTCTTATTTAAAATAGTTCAAGTGTACTAGAATTGATGAAATTTTGGGTTTGGGTTCCATTTTTAATGCAGATTACGAATATGCATTTACCTCAATACCCTTAAAGAACCCAATGGAATGGGAAAATAAACTGCTTTCCCTCGGTTGTTCCAGTCGTGAAATATATGCTGCTTTATTTTCGTTCCGAAACGTACTCATGGCAGCCACTTCTTGGTGGCTAAGTTTCGGAGAATGAGACAAATAACGAGACCAAAACATGTCGTTTTTCTTCGAGCGGCTGTCCCGGCGCGTATTCAAATAACGTGTTTTCAGTGGCTGTTCCAGCACGCGAGGTAGCAAACTTTGCCAGCGAAAACTCTCCAGTTTTTTTTTTCTGGGGTATTTCTTATCCATCCACTGAAAAAAATTAAAAACTGCCTTACGTTCGTCCCGAAACGCACCCTAGGCATCGTCTCTTCGCGTTGGTCAATTTTTGTCCTGGAAAATAACACAAGCTTCAAGCGTGCTAAATAGCCAACATTGCTAGTGGAACTCCTGAAACTGCCTTACGTTCATTCCGAAATGCACCCTAGGCACGCATTTCTTATGGTAGTTAGTTTTCGTCAACCTGGTTTTTTTTCTTCATACGAATCTGTAGTTATTTCAATCAGCAAATGCGCTTACTCACGGTAGAATATAACCTCACTTTTAATTTCCCCCGCTGAGTGATTACCGCTTGCGTTTGGAAGTTTAATTTTTTCAGACTAGATTATGTATAAATCAATCCGTTTATTCGTTAGGATTGTGATTCTGGCAGGATCGCCAATGTGGGTTCTTAAGATTCTCACTGGTAATCACCCAGCATATGGAAATGTGGAATTGCTCGTAGCACACACGTCTTACCTCCAGTAAAGTCAGCAGTAGAAAGAGACGATGCATTATGCCGATGTGCGGTAAAAGAGGTGAGGAGAAACGAAACTAGTGGACTCTTTCGTTCTCGCGTCTTCTTATGCAGCAACAGACGTGACGTCACGTCTGCTGTTGCATAAGAACACCGTCAGAATAAAAGAGTCCACTAGTTTCCTTTCTCCTCACCTCTTATACCGCACATCGGCATTATGCCACGTCACTGATGATCGAGCTCAACTCTGACCGTATGTCTACACTAATCTCCAAGAACAGCAGGGATGTACTGTCGCAGGGTTGAGTAAATATTAGGATGTACAATAAACTAAAGGTGGATATTCATCTATCCCATACCCAGGTCGACTCTTGACCAGGCATGGAAAATCATTTGCATTCATTACGTGCATTCATTTACATTCATTTGCCTCTAACTTTTTTCTTGAACAGAATTCCGCAAAATGACGTATAAAGCTTTTGTAGGTTTTGTTATTAGCTACAACTTTTGTGAATAAGTCAAATTCGTATCTCTTATGCATGACGAACCAGAGTAAACAGAAGCCACTACTGTTTTTCAATAAAAAACAGTAACAAGTTCTACCCGCTCTAGTTCGTGATGCATAAGAGATACAGATTTGAGTTTTCAGCAAAAGTTGTAACTAATAACAAAACCCACAAAAGTTCTACACATCAATTTGGGAAATGCTATTGATGAAAAAAGTTAGGGGCAAATGAATGTAAATGAATGAATGAATTGAATGTAAATGATTTTCCATGCCTGGTTCTCTAACAGATTACCTGAATCAAACTTGCTACAACCATGATAAAGACTCAGCTGAATTCGAACGTGTTGTGTAACAAATGGTCAGTTGTGACGGATGTTCCGGTTGGTTCCACACCCGCTGCGTGGGAATCGCGGAAGGTCAACTGCCGAAAAGATGATACTGCCAAAGTAAGGCCTGCAAGGAGAAGGCCCAGGAGTACCAGAAGCAGAGGACGCCAAGAAGCGAAACCGGAAACAAACTGACGATATATCCAGCGTCAGTTCTCGCAAAGGCTTGTCTACCGTGGAAGCTAGGATTAAAGCACTGGAGGAAAAGCAGAAGAGGCAGTGCGATGAGCCGGAGGCGCAGATGCAGTTGCGGAGAAAAGAAAAAGAACTTCAACGTGCGTTTGAAAGAAAGAAGCTGGAAATGGAGCTGAAAATGCGCGAAGAAAAAGAAGCAGAACAAAGGGCTCTGAAAGTGGAGCTGCTCCAAAAGAAGAAGGAGCAGATCAAAACAAAACAAAACGTCTGTGGCTACATGAACCACGAGAACCTGATGCGACTGCAGGAGTCCCTTGAAGGCGACGCACTCGAACTGGTATCGGGTCAGCTGCTTCTTCCAGAATCCATTCCGAGGGTCATAGAAAAACTTCGCCGGCATTACGGCCGTCCAGAACAACTGCTCCAGAGTCTTCTAGATAAAGTCAACCAGCTGGAGCCGCCAAAACCGGACAACCTGCGGAGCTTTGTCCCATTTGGGACTGCGGAAATTCAGCACCACCTCGTGAACCTGCTGTTGATAAAATCCTTGGTGGCCAAACTGCCTGACCGCGTACACTGCGAACGCTACGAACGCTGACAGACTTCCTCATGGATATCGTGGAGGATGCTTGCGAGGCCAACGTCGACGTCGATTTCAAACCGGCGCACCAGTCGATAGGTGGTTTTCAATCCGGAAAGAAGTCGAAAGGGAAAGGTGCTGTGTACTGCCACAGTGAAGTCAGTAGTCCGGGCCCTAGTTCATCCAGTGACAAGAAGCTGAGATCGTGCAAGTATGCAGCCCGGCTGAAGTTGGTTACCCGCCAAAAACTGTGCACCGTTTGCCTCAACGAACACAGTTGATGTAGGTTCAAAATTCGCTGTAACGTCGGCGATTGTAGGGAGTTCCACAATCCACTGATGCAGAATTCAATGCTCTCGGAATTTCTTCGAAGTTCTTTACATCCTTCACGGAATTTATTTAGAATACTCATTAGAAATTAACCTGTAACCCTCTTTACAATCGTCATGTAATTTCACACAGCTCCACCTGATAATTCTACTTTGAACTTGAACTATTGACTTGGCGTTGTAGTTAAAACTTTCTTCTTTCTTGTGAGAGTTCTTCAAAGTGATTGTATCCAGAAAATCTATTATTTTCTAAAGTGAGGACGAAGTGTTCATCATCGAAATTCAAATCGTCCGGTGATTTACTGTCAGTGAATACCACTGATTAAAGCAATTGTGACGGGGTGACAAACTGCCAAAGCTAGTCATCCATGTATGTTGATAACATTAAAATTAACAATGATGTCAAGGAGCTGGTGAACAAGAGTAACGAGAAACCGGTGCAAAGCGTTTTCTAGGGACAGGATTGAGGCGAAGTATCTGTGTGGTGTGGAACCGCAGGGAGTCGAATATTCCTTCTGATAGAAAATCTGATTGCGCAGGTTCTAACCAGTGTTTTTTGTATTGTTTTTAAAAGCAATACAGCAGTTACAACGAGGTTGACATTGAGAACCATCCACTGAAAAGCCAAAATCTCAAGCTGAAGTTGGCGGAGATGAAAAATTTAGACTAATACCGTAACACACTGCTCGGCCATGATGTTATTCTCAATTGTCGTTACGTGGAATCCGGAGCGTATCAGCAATCAGTTAAATCAGTTGGATAGCACTGTGGTTGGATCAGTATCACTTTGATCAAATCGAAGATGTATCAAATGATGAGAGGTTTGTTTATGCCAGACGTTATTTTGTAAATATCCACCTAGTGACTATCGTACTCTTTCTTCCAGATTGATACTGATGCTGCTGG